TGTTGGCAAATGGCAGAAAGAAGTTTGCCAACCGCATGCTTCAACTTCAATTTGCTGGAAGGATTGTTTTTTGGAGGGATAGGGAAAGGAACGTAACTGCTGGGGATCGCTGCTTACAGTTTGACTCGTATTTCATTACTCGAACTGGTATTAAGTGGCAAACTTTTGTATTTAACAACTTTTGGCAGTCGGAGCAGCAAAAATGAAGAAGATGAACAACCCGACCGAAGTTTGCCAGCGGAAAAACCAACAAAAAAATAATACTACAAAAAAAACAATAAGTGTAGAAGCAAGAACAAAAAGAAAGTTGCAGTCACTTGACTTAACTGCAATTTCCACTAAGTACACTCGGACAATTAAGTAGCGTGTATTAGAGAAGTGAGAGAGTTTGAGTAGCTGTTCATTTAAGTTGAAGAATGAATAAAACATTAAGTATTGTGCATATTTCTTTGACCTCATTTAATATCCCTTAAGAAATCATGTTTTTTATACATTTCCAAATAAATTAATGATTAGAAAAAAGGTATTTTTGATTATTTTTTCAAGTGCATCACCTAAGAGTTAAACTTAAAATAAATAAAACTCAAGACACTCGACCCGTTTGAGCCGCCAAAAGCCAATTGGCAAGAACATACGACCAAGACAAAAAGGTGGCAATGAATTCGCTAAAGATTCGCTTGGGAATTGGGACAACACTTTGCACTTTGCAAAAGCGCTCCGAAGTTGCATCCTTTGCCCGAAAAATCTGTCAAATAAAAGTTTGATTGGCACTCAGAGGGAACCTCTCTCTGCTCCTGCTACTGACTTTGCCAGTGCATTAATTAGCCAAATGCAGTGAGCTGGAGCAAACTTTCGAGGAGCATTACCATGAAATGCATGCAACTTTGTAGCGTTCCCCACGCATAAACTTAACTGAAGTGGCGCATAAATTGAGTGTGCAGCACAAGTTGTTGCGTTCGTTCGTTGGCTCGTTCGTTCATATATGCAACAATGTGGCAATGTATTGTAATTTCCCCTCACAGAACATTACCATAATTATCCCGCCACAATTTGAGCGTTCGAGCTGCCCATCAACGAGGATCAGGAACACACTCCCTCTGGCCAAGTCATGCCAGGTAGCGAAAAATGAAAGTTTTTCATATGTTCAGCGTGAGCAGAGGTGGAAAGAAGGGAAAATCCTTCACATTTTTCCCAGTTTCCTTATTTCAACTATAATAGTAAAAGTAGTAGTAGTAGTAGTAGTTGGCCACTGGCCAAAAGCAAGGCGACCGATGCTGCACTTGGGCTAAATTACATTTTCAATTTGTCAGCTGGCAGGGCGGCACTACTGCAGGCCATTAAATGGCAAATTAAGTTCAGCTTCGGACGCCGGCGTCCCTTTTTATTTTATTTGGCATTCCGGCATTTTTGTTACATTGCAATTTTTGCATCCTCCTTTGGGTCCGGGGGTAAAATGTGTTTTTGATAGGGTTTTCATAGTCTGCGGGATCTTGGCAGATTTTCGGCTCTGGCCATCATCGGGGGCAATATGTTGAATATTTCATGAGGGTCATAAATTCCCACGCCACGACGAAGCAAGTTAAGTCGAGCGCTTACGCGGTCTTCAGTTTTGCCGGCTTTTTATTTTTAATAACTTTCCATTGTGGCTGTCAGTGGCAGGCAACACAACACAAACACGCATGCCAGCCAGGACTCAGGACATGTCAACGGGTCGTTGTTTCTTTTGTTGCTCCCTCCTTCAAGCTGCTTTATAATTTATGATCCTTGGCATCGAAGACTCCTTTACGTGCACGTACACACACAGGCACCCTCCTCACCTCCTCCCCACATGTCGCCAACTTTTGTATAATTTTTCAAAAAACTGCATGAATATTAACTGCAAGTGGCAGGATATGGCGGCAGCATCCTGCCACCGAAAAACCTGCCCCATCTTGGCTTGGCCAAAAAAGTTTCAAGTGCCAGCTTGATCCGGATACGGGGAGAAGGAGGCTCCATCCACTGCCACGCCCTACTAACTTATGCATACGTGTAGCTTAGCCGCCCTCCGCGCACAGCTTTCCTCCTATTACCTTTTTCTATTTTTTTTTTTTTTTTCTTTTCTTTTTGGCCAGGATTTTACATACATATTTGATGCAAATGTGCGCAAATTGTCGTCGCTGTCTATTGGACATTTTGTGGCCACATACGCCTCGTTCGCATATCAAACAAAAGAGCCAGAGCACACTAGAAACTAAATCGATCAAACTAAGCCGTTTAAAATGGCTAGGAAATACACTTGGGGAAGAAACTAGGTCATGAAATACTAGTTAAAATCATTTAAAATGTTTAAATTTAACTAAAATCAATCAACAGAAGTAAAAGAAATTATATCTTTGATTGTTTTGGTATTTACATATTAATTAAAGCAGAAAATACTTTAATATTTGATCTTCAAAGCTACTTTAACTTTATATAACTATATTTTTTCTGCCTGTTCTCGATTGGGGGAGTGCAGGTGGCACTTTTGTATGGATCACGGATAATTTGCTTAAGCTCAGCAAGCAGAAAATAACGTTTTGCACACAACCTGGCACGCACAATGCCACATCAGTGTGCCCTCAGAGCTGTCCACTTTGACTTCTGGCTGCTCCCGGTCACTGTCCTCTCCCCCACTGTCCTTTTGTCGTCTCCAGAACGGCTGGCTTATCGCCTGGCCCCAAAAAAAGCGAAGGGACAAGGAGTCGGATATAACTACTCCGAGTCCTGCTCCCGCTCCTGCGACTGTCAGGCGAGTGACACGGCAGCTGTGCTTTAAACAAAGCTAAGCTCGGGTAAAAACAACATGACTAATAGTTTTGACAGAGCCCAGGCAAAACAAAAGCCAGACAGCATGTCAGATAAAAGCCAAAACGATGGCAAATGACGGGGTTTGCGGGAGAGGAAGGCGAAACTGCATGCTAAATGTTGTCAATTAGTTGGCCAGCCAAAAACGAATGACCGAAATGATGATGATGATGATGACCACCGAATGACACTCAAAAACATTTGACCAATGGCTTGACCCTTTGCCAACGGGTTCAAGATACATCTTTCTACAGATGATCAATTCGTTTTAATCATGGGATTTGTGCTTGTGAGTTGCATGGTATATTTCAGTCCCAATAAATGTATCTGTGACTGGCAGATTTGTAACTCAAACCTAGCTTAAAATTTCAAGAGAAATATGTAAGTGACAAGCTAAAAATCAATTTCAATGATAATACTAGGGCAAAGATATAAAGAAAAGGTTTGACAATTTATGATTAAATAATATATAGAGGGGGGTGGTGAGCTCCAATCTGAAAAAGCCACCTATTATTTGCACATTTATTTGCCTAGTTTTGTTCTCACAATTAAAAAAATCTTTGAATTGAAAATATAGCAAAATTATCTTTCAAGTTTAAACTACAAATCAGTTATAGCTGCAAGTTCTATTCTTCTTCCTTTTTCACCTTAAAATTTGAAGTGTTCTTTAGCACTCTTTTTTCAACTTTTTTAATACCTCTTAATTGATACTAAACTTGGAAAATCTTGAAATTTATATACCATCACTGAAGCATATAAACTATAAAAGCTAAAACTGAAAATCCAGTGAAACATTTGTACCAATTATTTTCCCCCTTGTCTTTGAAACTTTCCCCGGGTTGGGGAAAAAAACCACCACTTTGAAGTCTTCGGGCAACTATTTTGAGCATATCAAGAGCAAGAAGTCTACTTTACGACAGCTTCAGGTGAAGGAGCAAATCCTAAGCTGGGTTATGGCATTTCTTTGGGTCGCGTGGCCCCTCTGACATCCCAGGGCATCCCAGGGCAGGGCAGCTCAACAGTTTGGCTCAGCTATAAAAACACAAAGTCGCCAGCCAAAGTCTCACTTAAGCTGCTCCTCCTCCCTCTCCCTACACCCGAATCCTCTGATTTGCCCTTTCTGGTACACTTGCAGGAACTGAAGTACAGTGGAATGTCCTTAGAGCGAAACTACATGGATGCATACATATGTCAGCGAGTAGAGTGCAGTCCATAAATTTAAACAACGGGCAACGTTTTCCTTTGGAGTGCACTGGTATAAATTTAGTTATATTATTGGTAAATATGAAAATTTAAAGGGAAAAAAATAATTAGTGAGTAGGTAACCTGTACCAAAGTTTTAAGCATTCCATTCCCTTCGACTTTTCAAATAAAAGTATATAAATAACTTTTGAATTAAACTTAAACATTAAAAATCGAAACTCGGTTCGAATCCAGGGTTCCCGACTTGGCTTAGCCGTCTGATATAAGTGCGAGCAGGACGGATATAAAACACTGCTAAATCATAATTGTTTAATAACTTCCTTATTTATAATACGATTTAATTGAATTTCGGTATGCTGATCTATGAAATAGCACAGAATACTTTACAAAATTATCTGACAGAATTTCTTACGCATGCGCAGACTCAAGAAGGGAATATACTTTGTCCCTCAAATATCACTGTAATCACTAAAGAATTTATAAAAATAAGGTCAAATACAACAGACTCCCTTCTGTTCTTTTAGAGTGTTTGTTCGGTGTAAGTTTCGTGTAGTTGACGCTTTTTGCCGCTCATTTGGCTTTAGCTCTGGCCTGGCCTGGCCTGGCCCGGATCCTCCTCTAAGAGGTTGAGTGGGTGGTTGCTCGGAACTCGGGTTGGGTGGGTTGAATGCATGTGTTATGATGGGTGCACCAGACCGCAGCTCGGCCCCCTTTGCTTTTCGCCTGCGGATATGCAACAATGTTGTCAAGTTTCCTGCTCCACTCAGGGGGGCGGCCGTCGAGCTCTCAGTTGGCATTATGTCCACCGGGCGTGACTAACATGCACATGCTCAACTGTGCTGGAAAACGCTTTATCCAGCTCACATCTCACCTAAAAGCCACCCTCCGAAAAAAAACAGAAAGTTTTGCCGGTGACCAACTTGAATTTTGATTTTCTTTTTTTGTCTTTTCTTGTATTTTTCTTCTGTGAACAGAAGCAACAGCAATACTAACAACATGGCCAAGGATCTGAGCACTCTGGGCTGGGATTATCTGATGTTTGTGCTGTTTATAGCAATCACAGTCCTGGGACCGCTATGGAAACGCATTTTTGGCAAGAAAAAGGAGCGCAGCAAGGCCGATTATGTATTTGCCACCGGCGGAGTTTCGATTGTGGCCGTAATGATATCCATAGCCCGAGGCACTCTGGGAGTGCGATCAGTTCTGGGTGAGTTCTTGGACTTATAAGAAATCTTAATTAATCCTAAATCCTGTCTCAGTATTTAATAATTTTTCTCTAAATATATACATATTTCCTTTACAGGCTATCCCAGTGAATTGTACTATCGTGGCTCTGCCATGTGGGAGATCATCTATGGCATGATGAGTGCCTATCCCATAGTCTGCTTCATGTTTGTCCCTGTTTACTTTAACCTGGGCATCACCTCTGTCTATCAATACATCGATCTAAGGTGAGTCCTAAAGTGTAAAGTTTCTACAAAGAACGTAGGAAAAGTCCACTCCCTCGAGCGTCACATCGTTTAATTAGCACGAAAGCAAAGCAAGACAAAGACGGCAAACAGGAAAATTGTTATTTAAACATTCATTTTAATTTCGCCAAATGCGTCGTGTTGTGTCTCCTCTCGCCTTATCGCCGAAGCGCACACAATTTTATTCTTCATTAAGAAGGCCAAATGAAACTAAACAGAGACGCGCCAAGGGCTCAGGTCTGATTCTGTTTTTATACGCGGTAATTAGGGTATATTGTACACAAAGAAATGCATTAATAGTGCTTTAAGTTTCAAGAAAAACAGTAGAAAGTATCCTTATTAAGGAACAAGAACTCCTTTTCAACTTTACAATTTTGCAAGTATATTTTTTAAGGCATTTAGAACTTTATTATACAGGAAACCATGGTATTGCATCAAGAATTATTCAGAATTTATCGTTAAAGGTTAACTGCCAGGTATTTAAAGTTCGTCTACCTTGGCTTATAAGATATTCCCACTTGTTGTCTCTACTTTCTGCTGCTGCTTCTGGCACAAGTTTTGCTGCGTTGCTAAATAAATTTGAATTACATTTTACAAAAAACGAACAACAAAAGCAGCAACAATGAGCCTCTAACAAATGGCCAAACAAAAGCCAAGCCGGCAGAGCAAATAATCTATAGATTTGTCCTTGCCCTGCCCGAGGATTCCAACTTGAGCCAGGACTCGGATTCAGTTTCGGACTTGGTCCCGGATGCTATCGCCGTCCCAGTTGTCGTCAGTTTATCTCGGACGACTCCTCCGTTTCGTATTCCCATTCCCATTCCCATTCCCTTTTTCCATTTCCATCTGTCGCAAGTTGTCGCCTCGTGGGCCTAATTGTTTTTTAAGTTCGAAATTAGTTAACAAATTTGTTATCAAATGTTTTGCAGTTTCGACAACAGAATTCAATTAATTGCAAAAACTGACAAGACAAACAAGCGTTGTGAGGCGAAGCGGGGCGAGGGTGGTCTTGGCGGACAGAGCATAATTTGATTGAAATTTAATTGGCATGTGCCGCACATTGACAAAATTTTCGGTGGGGGAAAACCAGAACCGAACCAAACTTAGTGAAGTGAAAGCTGTGCAAAATTGGCAAATTATTTAAATATTTGCCTGGGAGGTAATTTTGGGAATTAGCATAAACAGAAACTGAAATGCAAGAAGAACTGTTTGCTTAGAATCTAAAGCGAAATTAATGATAAAATCAATGAGTTATTTGGTAATTATTTTTTACCAGTTTTGAGGGAGGGTATTTTATAAGCGATAGTTAGAGCTAACTAAAGTTTTAATGAATGATTAATTCTTTAAACTAGATGTTTTCGATGCTAAAGATGCAGAAACGAAATGCAGAGAACATATATTAATGCCTTTTCAAGGTATTTTCATTTTATTGAAAAGCACATTACGCTGTGAAGGACTCATTTCCGGCCCTATAAATCATATATATTCTTGATCAGCATTAAAAGGCGAATCGATCTAGCTTTGTCCGACAAAAATTAAATTTTAAAAAAATTTTACAATTTTATAAGGTGGAAAATTTATAAAATTTAAATTTTAAAAAAATTTTACAATTTTATAAGGTGGAAAATTTATAAACTTAAGGTTTGAAAAATTGAAAAAAATTTTACTTTTCAATAATTTTAAAATGAGTATGCAGATTTATTAATTTAATAAAAACTAACATAGCACAGCTTTCCGATTTCAAATTAATGCTTTTTTGGCCAAGTTATGGGTTTTTTAGGCATCGATTTGTAGAAAAAAATGTCATATAAAAATATTGATAAAAACCACTCAAAAACTGTATTCTAATTTTACGCAGAAGCTTAAAAAACATTGAAGAAGTCATTTCCGACCCTATAAATCATATATTCTTAATCAGCATCAACAGGCGAATCGATCTAGCTATGTCCTACAAAAATTAATTTTTTTTAAATTTTTACAATTTTATAAGGTGGAAAATTTATAAATTTAAGGTTTGAAAACTTGAAAAAATTTTACTTTTAAATAATTATTAGATTATTAGAGTATGGAGATATATTAATCTATTCAAAACTAGCATAGAACAGGTTTCCAAACTAAAATTAATGCTTCTTTGACTTAGTTATGGGTTTTTCGATTTTTCGATACAGTCCTATAATTAATTTGGAAACTGCAATTTTGGCTTCCCAAAGATAGTTTCCTTCTTTTTTTAGTTGCTAATTAAAATAGCTAAGCACTTCTACTTAAAGTTAACCATTTCCGACTTTATGTTATAACAAAAATTCATATTAAATCAAGTGTACTTAATCACTTTCCTCTTCAAAAAAACGTAAATCTTCAATGAAAATAACTAAGTATCAAGGTAATTAATTTGTCTATGATCAAAATGATGAAGTAATTCCCTCAAAAGCAATTAAATTTTGTATGGCTTCAAAAGTCCAGTTAAATTAATGACCAAATCAATGACTGATAAAGTTAGTTCCCCCCAAAAGCATACCATTTTATAAATGTTTGCTTTATTCGGCTTGGACGCAGCAACACTCAAACTAATTGAAGAGCCAACGAGTCGAGTAACTACCATCAATCTTAGTCAATTGGCTTGGCCCCAAAGTGAAGAAATAAAAAAGGAAAAAAACGAGAAAAAGACAAGCAGGCGGCATGAGGAAAAGCCACGGAGAAAGGGAAAGGGTTGAGGCGCGGCGCAACATGGCCAAATGTTGCCCCAGAAGAAGAAAGTTGGTTGCCTCATTGTCGCTTGTCATCGCAACTGGCGCCCCGCGACATGTTTATGCATACAACTTCATCAAAATAGGCTGAGCCGATCCTTTGGACAAGGCAAATGGTTATGGAAATGGGGTCTAGGGCGCACACAGAGGCCGATAAGTGAATATGCTACAAATTGGCAAAAGCCACTTGGCCAGAACAGACCAGGCCAAGACAACGAGTGTGTGTGTGGGAAGGTTCACGAAAAAAACATTGAGGAAAAGACAAAAGCCTTGACGTTGGCAACACGATGACAATACAAAAAGGAAAATACAAGAAAAAAAACCGATTTTGTTGAGAGTTAAGACTAGAAAATACTGAGTACTTAGGATTGTTTTAGTAAAAAGTATAAGTCATAGAATACCTAGAAATCCAATATACTTTAGGTATTTATTTACAAATATATTACAGCTAACTTGAGGTTTTAGTTAAGGATTCTTATTCAATAAACTTTAGGTATTTATTTACAAATATATTACAGCTAACTTGAGGTTTTAGTTAAGGATTCTTATCCAATCAAGAGGGGACATTGCATACTTAAGTATGTTTAAGTTACTACCAAGAAACCTCATAAGTACCCTTAATCCCTCACAATAAATCTTAAGATTTTCTGTGATTTTAAAGCAGTTTTTTAGCTTTAATTTAAATACAGATACTTACAATATACCCCTCTAGTGTAGGATTATAGGATATATAAGAAAAAGCGTCAAGGAAAAGCCAAAATAAGGAAAAAAGAAGGAAGGCAACAACAAAGCATCAAGCCACTTCGGTCTGAGGCTGTTGACAAATTGTATGACAATTCGTTTGTGCCATAATGTTTATAAATAGCGCGTGTTGTTGCCTGTCACTGGCATCAGGCATCAAGCATCAAGCATCAAGCTTGAATCCGAATCTTCCACCCAAAAACTTGCGAAACAAAAAGCCCAAGACAAGCACACACGCACACTCACCAAGTCATGGATTCTCTCACTCTTGTCAGTCGCCTGTCACAAGTGATGTCTGCCACTCAAGGAAGGAGGAGCAGGAGCAGGAGCAGGAGCAGAAGCAGGAGGTGAAGACGTGGAAGGGGCATGACCCTTGACTCGCTGCCAACTCAAGTGTTAGCCAGCTTCACACAGAGATTTGCTATCTGGCCGCCATCGAGTTCAATGGTCAAGCAAACTTTGGCTTTGTTCGCCCCAGATAATTCATCTCTCAGTCCCAGCTCCTGTCTCCTCCCGGTGTTTGTGGGGTGGCAATTACATGTAAATAAATTGATATCCAGAGCCCGAAGTAGAGATCAATGCGAACAGTTGTTAGCACTTAGCAAATGGGAAAAATGCATTTCGGCTTCCTTTTGGTTTATTTACGACTACAAGGGGACACAAAGTGCTCGCTCCAAATGAACACAAAAACGGAAACGGAAACCTGGCAAAAACAGACCGAGCAGCGAAGGGTTGGGAGGTCGGTGCCTTTTTTGAGGACACCATGCATACGCATAAATAAAGACGTTTTCGGCGCTACAAAGTGAGAGCGTGATTTGCAATTCAAAGACAACAAAGTTGTTTGGGAGTAACTCACAAACACATGTGGGTGTGTGTGGTGGAAAGCGCAAAAAAATAAAGGTATATTGGGACTAAACGAAAAGGTGTTTGAAAACAACATTGTTTTCGGACAGAGTAAAGTTCTTAGAATGCAAGACTCAGGGTTTCTTGTTTATAAACTCTGTAAAAAGAAAAGATACTTCATTATAATAGTTATCAAAAGATAAAGCGTTTAATATGTAATAATAGAGAAATTTAAACAGAACTCATAAATATGTAACAGAGCAAAGTTGAAAGCATATTAAAAAAATATGAAATACATCCAAGCTTTATTTTTGTAATAATTAAAGCCATTATTTAATTCACTTTCCCCGCAATAAATTGAATATTATTACTCCTGTACCACTTCTGGGAATTCTTGGCTTCTGTTATTTTCATGGTAAATTTAATTAAAACAACTCATAGCTTGCATCTGTAATTTATGCAATCGATGCAAATTTCATATGCATTTTTTTGAGGAAATTGAAATTTAAACGAATATCCTTTCTTGCAATTCAAATTCCCTGGGTAACTCCCAGTCGTTTACATTTTTCCTTTTCGATTCCATTACTTGTTTATCTCCCATTTTTTTTTATTTGTGGGCGGCTTTTAACGCAGTGCTCGCTGGCACTCAGAAGCACCGACTTTATATGGCTGATTATGTTTATTTATGCATGACATTTAATGCAATCAAATGTGTCACCCTTCTCACCTGAGCCACCTTTAGCTTTAGATTGCCTTTGATTGTAAAATTAACTCGACCCTCCCAGGGGACAAGGATACTAGCAACTAATGTGGGTTGAGGATGAGGATTGACTGCCTCTAAACGGCGATTATCTGGCCATTGTACAAAACCACTCGTCATATTAAATTTGCCATTAATTTATGCCTTTGTCGCCTGGCCTTCTGGCCGAAAACTGGCTTAGTGGCTTGCCATGATAAATGATGGGTCCGAGTTGCAGACCAAACTCAATTTTCGGTGAGGGGACTACAAACCTCCTCCTGCTGCAGGACCTGGTGTTCAATTAATGGCTGGGTGAGCAGCTCCCTCGCGCCTGCTGATGATGACCTGCTCACTGGGTTTGCTTCTACAGCCCATTTTCACACCCATCCGTGGTCATTGGCATTGTGTGAAGGAGAACTTAATGGGAGTTGGGAGCTGCGAGTGTCCTTGCTGGTAATTGCTTGCCCGCTGGCTTGGCTGCAGCAATTATTGCATACTTTGCGGCACTTACATTTCATTTAAAGTTATTAAGCGACAATCGCATCGCAGGACGTCTTTAATCAACTCAAGCAAGTAGGAGAAGGCAAGAGAGAGTGAGAGCGAGAGCGGCTCAGTTAAATCAATTAAACTAAAACAAAAGCCAGGACCAGGACAACGTTCAATCAACTGGACGATGGTGACAGCCTCAGGTCATTACTCACACACACACAGTCGGAGGAGAAGGATCGAGCAGATGAAATGACAGGCAGACACAACGACCGACAGACAGACACAAGGACGTCAAGAGAGAGAGAGAGAGAGAGGAGAGGCAAATCCTAAGGCAGGACCCGGCCTAGCACTTATTGTGATGAACACAATGTTAACAGGCTAAATGAGAAACAAATGCCACAATCAGACAACGTAGAAAAACACTCGCTCAAGGAAGAGAGGCGGCCGAAAACAATAAATCCCATAAATCATATTAAATTGACATATCAGGCTAAAATTGACCGCAAGCAGCAATATGCTACATGCGTATGCCTGTGTCTGTGTAGGATATTGTATCCTACAATAATATTTCTTTATCAATTTCCACAACAAGCTCAGCCAGCCCTAGGAAAAACAAGAAAAAGCAAAGACACGAAACACCAAATGGATGGGAGACAATGGTTAGCCGAATGCCTAAATAAATGTTTGACCAACCGAGCGAGCAAACCGAACCGAGAACCAGGACCAGAAAAACCAAAACTGAAACCGAAATCCCACCCATTGCCACGCCCATTCAATCAACACATATGTATAAGAGCGACTGTCATACATGTCGTCCTTGGCCAAATTGGCCAGGCTTTTATGTAGGACCATCCCTCAGCCTCTGGCGGATTTTCAGATTGTTTTCCTTCGGCCCGCATACGCAATGTCGCAATTAAAATGTGTATCAAGCATACGACGCGTTGTCATGTAAACCGCTTAAAAGCCCCAGCCAACATTGTAAAGTCGAATGGGTAAATATGTTAAGCTTGCTTAATGCACAGCAATCCGGGCATCTGGGTGCCCCTCCTTCCAATTGTCAATTGATGTTTGCTTATTGGAAAAGTGCATCATCATTAATTAATACTCATCAGGGCAAGGGCAAGGGCAGGAGTTCCCTCACACAGCCTGCGGTGACAGTTTAATAATAACCAAAAGAACATTAAGGCGATTAAAGATAAAATATACTGCAGCTCTCTTCCTGCTACTATTACGTAGAATGAGGAGCAGGAGCAGGTCATTCATCTAAATATGCATTTAATCCACAAGTCGAACACCTGTGTCTCCAATCGCTCATGTCCTGTAACCCAGTCCCAGTCCCAGTTCCAGTTCCAAGACCAGGGCCCGTTGACAGCCCAACACGGCTCAGATCAATATTGGCCAAGGGCAATTAATCATTTAGTGGGTTGCAGAGACACCGAATGACAAACAGACATGGGCAAGGGGTAGGGAGATATACAAAGGAGTTGTTGTTGAGGTGCGGGGAAAAGTGGATTATGCAGTCAGCTTAGATGTTCAACAAGGAATTACTTGTGATTACAAGACACAGTGCATCTCACAGCTGTAAGGCTCTCATTAGATTTGAGTAGGATATGCAATGAATACGTTCTTGAAACCTGTATTTATATCTTAAGCTCTCTCGCTTAATATTATATCGAAGTATCGGAAACTTTGATTATCGATATATCCTGGAATCCCTATCCATAAAACTCATCGATTTCAAAGGTTCTTAAACTCATTTTAATAGTTCCGTAACGGACTGTTAACTCGAGCAAACTTTAAGCTCAGGATGCCAATCAAAGGATTACGAACGTAAAGCAGTTTATTTATTAAAGCCCCTCAGTCGGCAAATGCGTGTGCTCAGGCACTTGAGACATTCGCCCCCATTCGGCCACATAACGCATACTAAACGATCATTAGGCGAGTGGCCCACCCAATCTTGTCGCACATTTCGCATCAAATTAACACACAAATTTTTACAACCCGAGCCCATAAAAGCGCCCCGGCTCAACTATAAAAACAATCAAAACGAGTTACGGACCCGCCAATTTTCTTAGGTTTTTCTCGCCCATGTCGTAAATTTAACCCCCGCCCCGCGGCTCCCGATTCCACATAACTTCTTTACAGCGGGTTGTAAATCATAAAAAGGGGGTAGTAGGTCTAGAAAAAAAAATTAAATAAGAACAAAAACAAAAGCGAAAACCGAGAAGGGACCACGAGCAAAACATTAAAAGTTTAATAAAAATAAATAAATGACTACAGTGCAAGAGGGCACTTCGTAATTAAAGCCTGCACTCACCTGCTCCTGTTTCCTTCGTCCTTTTCCAGGTTCAAGAGCCGCACCGTGAGATGCCTGGCCTCGGCAACATATATTGTTCGGCAAATCTGCAACCTGGGCATCACCGTTTACACGCCCAGCGTGGCCCTGTCAACGGTGATTGGCATACCCTACTGGGCCTCCATCTCGGGCATGGCCATCATTTGCATATTCTTCACCATTATGGTATGTTCGGGAATGCCGGCGATTTAACGATGAAAATATTTAAATTTCTCTCTCATCCTATTTGAACTCATTAGGGCGGCCTGAAGGCAGCCATCAATGCGGATGTCATCCAGACGCTGACCATTCTCGTTGTCACCGTGGCCGTTTGCATCCAGGGCACCATTTCCACCGGCGGCGTAAAGAAGGTCTACCAGCTAAATCGGGACAATGGTGAGCCATCAGTTGAATGTTGTTGCTGGTTTGGGGATGTGTTTCGATTGATCATGGCAGCTTATTAGCCAGCTGCCAGGGGATGTGTGCCACGGGGAGTGTGTGTAGTGTGTAGTGTGCTGACGAATGATGACTATTAAAATGGCATCCATTGTGGGTGGCCGTTGTGGCTCCTCCTCTGTTTCCGCCCCGGCTCATTATGCACATAAATGATGATGATAAAAGTGGCATAAAACAGCGGCATCCTCCGAATCCGAAAGGGGGGAGGGCGCGGCGGAAATGGCAGCCTCGCATGACGACAGTAATAAATGTGTGACGGCGGAGCGTTTGTCACTCGAGTTTGAGTTGTTGGCTGTCATTGTGCCGGCAATCGTCGGGCTCCTGGGAATGCCTCCATCTGCTCCTCTCCGCAATCTTTTCCTGGCCATGCACTTGCACTAAAGACACCTCCATCTGCCATCCCTTCTATTCCCAGGTCGTCTCAACTTCTGGAATTTTACGGGCGACATGACCGTCAGAGTGGATACCACCTCGGCCTGGCTGGGACAGCTGTTTATGTCCCTCTCCCAGATTGGTTGCCAGCAGAACTTTATGCAGCGCTATGTCAGTCTCAAGTCGTTGAAGCAAGTGCGTCGGTAAGTACTGCCTGAAAGTAAATAAAATAAACCGGAAATTAGAAGAATTCAAGATTACCAAAGCAAAGTGCCAGACAAGTTTAAAAGGGATGGGTACGTGCCATGAGGGCGACACTCATCTGTTTTAAAACCTTTGTGCTTTAAAACTAAGTTTCTATTTATTTAAATAACTTACCTTGAATTAGATCCACAGCGGGAAATTTAAGGAACCTCAATCCGTTTTTTTCTAATTTTAAAATCCTTTTTAACCCTTTTCAGTGTGATGCTGACCAATGTCCCTTTGGTCTTCTTCTTCTTCTCACTGTCCTGGATCTCCGGCATGGTCATCTACTCCACGTACATCAACTGTGATCCGTATGCCGAGGGCTACATAAAGAAAACTGATGAGATTCTGCCCTTCTTTGTGGAGGATCAGCTTGGCTTTCTGCCTGGATTTGTGGGCATTTTCATGGCCACTTTGTTCAATGGAGCCTTGTGGTGAGTAATGGAATAAATCCTTTTTAGAAGAGTCACTGAATAAACTTTGGCTTTCCTATAGCATGATGGTGTCCAATTTGAACTCACTGGCAACTGTCGTGTGGGAGGATTTCATATCGCAATTCCCAAAATTCAAGGGACTTACTGACAAACAGCAACTTAGAATCCTCAAGGTGATCACTGTGATCTGTGGATTGATTATCATGTGCGTGGCCTTTGGCGTGGGTTTGCTAGCGGGTGTAATTGAATCCTCGCTGTTAGTGTTTTCGGCCACATCGGGTCCTCTGCTGGGTTGTTTTATATTGGCAATGATGGTGCCAATTGCCAATTGGAAGGGTACATCAGCTGGAATGGTTACTGCTTGCGCCTTTGTGCTGTGGATCATTGGCGGCGGCATGACCGTTGAGAAGTCGAATCCTATGCTGCCCACCACAACGGAGGTATGTTTTTTGGTAGATCATAGAATATATCATGGTAGAATATTAATGGAGTCTCTTTTATATCTACTCGCAGGGATGCTCTAATCACAGCTTCTCCCAGTCCATTGCCAAGCCCATTATTGAGCCCGGTCAAATGCCCTGGCTGCTTACTCACACTCCCCTCGATGGCTACAATCAGAGCTTTGTGGCCACACCGCCCACCATAGCACCTGAGAGGTAAATTGGTCACATATTGAATGAGAAAATTGCATGAGTATAATGTTTTCTTACCTGATTCTCCCCTAGATCCGGCCTGGAGAGCTTTTACTCGATCAGCTTTATGTACTACAGCTTGATAGGCACCGCCCTCACCGTGATCATTGGCACAGTGATCAGTCTGCTGACACAGCATCCCGATGACGCCTATGACGGCAAGTTGCTGCATCCCCTAATCTTCCGTCTGTGCGAGCGCTTTTCCGGACGAAAGCCATACTATGTCAAACACGAAGAGGAGTCTGGCCTGAACGGACGCAGCAGCAGTGACTCCTCAGCCACGACGACGACCTGCAAGGAGGAGAAGGTCAATCATGGCTACGAGTCCTCACCGGAGGAAAAGGAGAAGAGCAATCCCATTGCAGTGGTGTTCACCACCTCCGAGGGAACAGCCGCCGCCAATGGAGTAGCGGCGGACCAGCAGTCCATCTGCGACAGCAGTAGGATACAGCTGGACATTGTTCCGGGGGCGGGCGAGACGGGCGTGTATCGCCAACTTGCCGGGAGATCTGCGCTCTGAGGGCTAACCTATGGCTGGTTAGCCCCGACTTAGTCCATAGTTAGTAAGCTAAGCTCTAGACTAGACAAATTAGTTAGCAAAGTGTTTCAAGTCTATAAAGATGCTGTGATTTCCGTGCGCGACTGTTGTTGAGCAATGTTCGCGCATTTGTAGCAACTCGTTCGCATGTACTTACCGCGTGCAATAAATAAAGACAAATAAAACGTAATTTTATATAATAACACAAGAAAAACCGCATATTTCGATACCACTTTACACTTTTTTCGCGCGTATAACGGTAAAACTTGGCCAGTGCTGCCCATCAGTGCAGTTATCGATAGCCATCGATAAGGAAAGTGATGGGCAGGGCTACAGGTGTCCGCGACGTGACGTGAGTCACGCCAAGTAGTCGAGTAAAATTAGGTTTTTACGAAATATTTTGTATGAATTAAATAAATAATTAAAAAAATAGTATTTTTCTAGACTTTTACAAATAATCAATAATGTACAGAAAATTAATGGTAGATGTAATTTTTAAGAACAACTTTATTTCAAGTTGAACCCGCCTATGTGTTACATATTTACAGATTGGTACAAATTGATATTTGAATAAATACTTTTTCACAATTTGGTTTTTGTTTGACTAATTGATTTTAATGAAGGCATTTGTAAATATATAAATAAATATATAATGTATGCAGTTTTATAAATATATATATAATATATTTTTTAAATTCAACGTATACAACCCATGTAAACATTAAAATTTTAAAAAATAATTTTGGACAATAAGTTTTTTATTTTAATAACCGATTTTAACAAAACGATATTTTAAATTTTGTTTAGATATTATATTTTTAAATTTATGAAAATTTTATAAATTTAATTTAATTTCAACGTGTTCAAATCATGCGATAGTAGTTTGTGTTTGTGGCCAATAATATTCAGAAAATTATTGACTAATTTATTGACATACAAAAAAAAAAAAAAGCTTGGTTTATAAACAGTTGAACCCGTCTGTATGTTACAAATATACAGATTTGTATAAATTGATATTTGAAAAAATAAGTTTCGATAATTGGTTTTTTGTTTTTTTAATAATTGATTTTAATAAAAGGACATTTTAAGTTTCGTTCAGGTAAAATATTTCAAATTTTTTTGCAAATTTTCAAATTTAATTTAAATTTAACGTGTACAAACCATACGATAGTTATTCATGCTCGTGATTGCCCCAGCTGGTCTCTTGTTTCTCCCATCCCTATTATGTGGGGATTTTATTGTTTAGCGGCGTAGACGATGATGCACAAATAAAACGCAAAAAGCTCGGGAAACAGCAAATTAAAAGGTGAACCATGGCCACGCTAGTCAAGCCCAAGAAGGATGTGAGTTAATGCAAAACAAATCGGACCCCGAAACTGATCAAATCCTTTGCAGAAGACCAAGAAGACTCGTGGAGGCGCACGGCAGGCCCAAAAAGAGGAAGACGAAACTGCAGAGTTATCAACAAGTGAAGAACAAAGACCAGTGGAAAATGTGTCGCTGCTGGAGGAATTTGAGCGAGTGGCTGCTCTGGCCAGTGGCCAGCCAATTATCAGTCACGATTGCTGCATCTCCAGCGATGTGCAGGAATTGCCACCAGAACCAGAACCTGAACTCGAACCAGAACTACAAGCGGAAAAGGAAATGGAAACCCAAAACCAATTAGAAACCGAGCCCAGTGCTCCAACAGCCCCGCCCTCGACTAACGTCCGCATTGTTCAGTACCCTAACCTGCAGCCCATGCACCTGTCCAATGCCCAGGTAGAGGAGCACAGCTCAAAGATTGTCTACCGTCAGGCGGAGTCCTCACCCACTGGCTTCGCCCTGGCACGGAGCCACATAAATCCACTGAGTGCCGAGCAATTGAAGCAAATTTACGATTGTCCCGACCTCGAGTTGGCCAAACAGTTTGAGCTGGAGTTTCTCATGAACTCCCTGCTAGAATCCAGCGAATCGGATCCACTGTATGCTGCCCTTTTGGAGTACTACGAACTGCAGGGGAAGCTGACCTCAAATCTCCATGACGTAGAGAAGCTGCGCAAATCGTGCCCAGACACCCAGAAAAAAATCTGGGTGCGAGAGCCGGTGACACGTACATTTTCGGGAACCTGCGGCGATGGCAACGTGGTGCAAGAGAGCGTAACCTACGAGTAAGTGAGATAGAGATATGTACTGCAGGTTGAATTAATGTAAACAATAAGCTTTTCCGTTTCACTCGTTAAAATCGATGCATAAAATTCTTTGGATATTTTTATGTATAGATTTTAACTTTAATTGCTATATTTTGACCACTGATCCCTTTCCTATATCAGTCTCATCAAGGTGAATCCCATCAAGTTGGAACTGGCGCAGACTCATCTCACGAGCCTCTATGATCTGGTCTGCCATACATACACCAACAACCTAATCACAGCCAAGATAACCAAAGTGAAGGTAGATCAGATCATCAACGACTTGCTAACCTATTCCCATACAGACGGCCAGGCGGGGATTGCATTAAATAGGGTGCAGTCCGGCCCAGCTCTGGAGTGCGTTTCTCAGCTAAGGCGAGCCATTTCGATACTCTTCAGCTTCGTCCGGCGTCGCAGTCCCAATGCGGTTTGTCTTTTACTCATTTGTTCTCTTGCAAAGACGTACTCACTCTTTTCTTTTTGCCTTTAGAACTTCGATAAGGACCTTAAGGAATGGCTGCGCAAGTTGATTGCCTTGCAACTCTTGCTGGCCACTAGAGAAGACCATTGGTTCCTGCTCTTCAACATCCTGCGATGTCCAAATGGTGTGGGCTCGTGGGCCGCTCAATTTCTGCAAGTGCCGGGCATGCAAGCAATGGGTCGCAGCACCCAAAACAATGAGCTGCCACTCGAATTGAACTCTCCCGAACTGAATCACTGCATGGCCGTGCTACAGATCCTCCTTATGCCCGTCAAGAAGCGAAATGAGTATCTTAAGAGTCAGGCCCAGGCAAACTCTGATCTGACAGAGTCCACGGGAGCAACGGAACGCTGGATAGTGGTGGACTCGGATGGCGAGGACTCTCACACACCGACCGGCGAGTGCATTGGACTGAAAGAGAGTGATCTAATTGCCCTCCTAAACCAACTGCCTTTCGAGAAGATATTTATGTCAGCAATGAATATAGAAAAGTTCCTGGAGGACTACATACTCGAGCCGGATATGATCTCAGCCCAGAAAATGCTTTCCGTGGTTGTGTTCTTTTCCCAATTGGTTAGAACACTGGGTGAGGGGCTGTTGACCTATAACAACGAAAGATACAAACAATTGGCTAAACGTCTTGGACGCTTAGTGCGTCATACTTTGCAATATGTCTTCGATTATCACGAATTGTTCAAGTAAGTTAAATGAAAGCACTTCATATAACAGTTTTAACACCTTTCTTTGACAGAAATAACAACCTGCCCAAGTCTCTGGACCTGCTTGAACGCATCCAGGTGGAGCTGCAAGCCCTGCTCATCCGTGCCTGCGGTTATATCTATCGCACACGAAATCTGGGCACATGGCAGTACTTCTCAACTCTGCCCTTCGGCGCCCTAGATGCTGAGGTGGTCTGGCATCTGTTCTACTACCTGAACGTGGGCTTTCCCACGGACTTGACCAATGACCTGGTAAGCAATGCGGAGGCTGCCTTTCAAGCCAACGACTTTTGGAACAAATTTGATTTGGCCAATGCGGATGTGGCGCCCGAGGATATGTACTACCTTCTGCAGACCTTTTTCGAGATGGCCAACGATCGGAATCGCTCCAAGGATGGAGGCCTAGTAAAGGCCGTCTGTCTGCATATCTTCCACATTGGTTATATCCATCGATCTACCAGGGAGATTTGCTACAAGACTGCACGCGATATGCTGGCCAACTTGATGGATGAGGATCTGTTTGGATGCCTGCTCGTTCAGCTGAAGATGCGCTTTGGTGAAGTCGACCAGGCGGCCTATCTCTTCAAGGCTTTGCCGCTAGAGAACTGGCACCCGAGCATGGACAGCTTTGAAGTGCTGTCCAACTGGCTGCTTCACTTCGATTACCAGTCCTCGGAGAGTCAGTTGGCGCGCCTGATCATCGGTCATTTGAACTGGGGCTTGGATATCGAGGGACGACTCTTTCTGCCCCACAACATTCATGTGCGCATGGCCCATTTGGTGAACGAGGCTCTTAATAAGTACGCTCCTGAAATTATTGGCGCCTCTGGAATTTCTGAAAGTGTGCGTCAGGTTTCATCGCTCATCGACTCCACTCAGTCGACTAGGGAGCAGTTTACCAACTGGTGCTGGCGCATGATTTCCCTGCTGCGACTACATCTCATGGACCAGGGAGTGGAATCGGTGAAACGCACCCTTCAACACCCCACAGAGCCGTTGCTTTTTATACCCGAAATGGAGCGTCTGGAAATGGTTTTCCAAGGTGTCAACGAAAACCGCCCGCTGGCACTTTATGTGGGCATGCTGGTCAGCCTGCATGGTCACTCGATTCCGTTGATCTGCCAGCATGGATTTAATCTGCTGCAGCAACTGCTCCTAGATCACCGGCATGCGGCCACCATTCGGTGCCTGGAGCTGATTGTGCCACTCTTCCTGGAGACCCCAGAAACGTTGGCGAATTGCGAGAGGTTTGTTAACACTCTTCTTTTCCACTATGATTAATTAACTATAATGCATTTAAATAGTTTCCAGAGACTTTTAGTTACTTTGCTAAATGCGGACAGAACTTACTTGAAGCTGGCTAAGGACATGGTCTATGCCAACTCAATTGGACCCATTTTGGAGCTTCTAGACAATATGCTGCATAATCAGATTGTCTCCTATACCAGGTAAGGTTTAAATACATATTTACCTATTCTTTTAATAGACTCCAATTCGTTTAAATGTATATACATATACTATTAAAATTCTTTCCAATATCTTAGCTATGGACTGTGCTCACCTCTCAATCTGCTCAATATCTGGCTGAATTGCTTTACCACGCTGCCGGGCTGGTCACAAAACTCGAATCTACTGTATCTCCTCGATAGAATGCTGCGTATATCCTATCAATTTCCCGATTGCCGTGTGCAGGCTGTGGAGTTCTTCTACAACTTTTACAAAGTAAGCCTTAAAGTAACTGATAAATATGGAGTTATCCTCTGTAACCATTCTCAAAGGACTGCACGGACTGGAAGTCAGCCCCCAAAGGATCTGCATTGAAGGCCTTCTTCGGCGGTCAGTCACCATCACGCGTTCCCCTCATCTCGCCTCAAAATTGCTGGCTAAATCTTGTTCTTCTCGAGATCGAATTCCGTCTGGTGGATAGCCGCACCTGGCCGGAACTTTTGCGGCAAGTTTCCGCTCAGCCCCTGGAGGCGGCTCTCAAGAAAACCATTTCGTTGACTAAGGCTACTGCCTTTCCCGCAAGCCAACTGGTGATTTTCAAGTATGCGCAGCTGCTGGCCAGCATGGACAGCAATCATGCTCTGTTTCCCATCGTGTGTCAGAAGTTTTTCGAGCTGTATCTGTGGCGAGTGCCTACTGAAAACGAATCGCTGAACTTTAGTCACAACTTTGGAGTCGCCGACAAATTTTACGAACACAATGTGCCTTTAATAAAAGTATTAAGTCGCAACTGAAGTCCGCCGAGGCGTACTACTCGGCAATGGCCACTAAGAACGCCAACGATGATGCCATGGCCCACTTCTACCGCAGCTGCTGCAAGTTGATGCAGAGCTGTGGACTTTGGCTGGAGGACACCCAGATCAATAGGTTCACCAGCGATGCCGAGGCACTGCCAGCGCAGTACAACTGCGAGAAGCTGCGTGAGCTTTTGGGTGGTCATGTCAACCACTGGACGGAGTTCCTGTGCCTTGCCAATTTGCGCAAGGAACAGCGACATCAGGCGGATCAGTGGGCACGAAAGGTGTTGAGAGTCGCAAATCAAAGGGCACCCAGGACACCGGTGCAACCGAAGCCGCGACAGCCGCCAGCTCAGCACATTAAGAGCCTGCTCAACACCTACGAGAAAGTTCTACCGATCCCTAGTCATGTTCGCTTGGAACCTGTTCAGACGCCGCCCATCGATGGCAATATTATGAATCTACTGAAAAAGCGCCTCAACACTTTCAACTCAACGGCAAAGTAAGATTTATTTTTAAGATTATATCGACAGCCTGATAATTCCTTTTCTCTTAGCACTTATCACTACAAGACGTCCGAGCTGAATTCGCTGAACCTCAACTACCTGGAGAGTGTGCCTGCCTTGTACCAGATGATTCCATACGAAGAGACCAGGCGAAAGGAGTGCAACTCCCTGCTCTTTCAGCGGACTTGTACGGCGCCTGCCAAGATCACCCTGACGCCGGAGCATATACGCATCAACGAGGTTATATCCCGCAAACAGACACAGAATCGCGAGCGACACGACAAGATTGTAGAGGATCTGCTGTTGGCCATGAACGTGGATAGTTTTGCACAGGCCATCGAGGAGTTTGGCGTATGCATTGGTGCTCTCTTAGTGGCACCTTTGGAAGCGAAAGTAACACTGATCGGAGTGCAAGTTTTCTATCATCTGGTGGACAATCTCAACGAGGTGACCATGAAGTTTCAGCCCACCCATGACCTGTATTTCCAAGTGCTGGAGAAGCTTGGGGTAAGAAAGAGAAGGTTTAGGTTCCCCATTAAACTATATTTTAATTATAATTTTACTTGAAAGGTTTTCCTGCAAGCAGATCAGGCCGCGCAGGGATTGGCCGTGCTCCGATTGGCTTTGAAGCGTCCTGATCTTCTGGAGCTTCTGGCTGGTGTCTTTGTTCCCAGCCGCACTGATGTCGAGCACTTCCTACCCATGTACGAGTTTCTCATAGACTCGCACCTCAAGCACTGCGATACACAGATCCTGTTCGTGCTCTTCTCCAAGTTCGACTTGTTGGGTTGGTTGGAGGCCTATCAGCCGAAGCTCAGTGAGATCAATCGCTTGCTCTTGCTGGTGCTCCAGGGACTAGAGGCTTGGTCACAGCCGGATAGTAGCCTTTTGCAGGATCAATTTCGCCGGCACTTGGTGCACATTTTCGCCTATGACTTCCCCCAACACTTTGGCGAGGTGATGCAGCTGGTGTTGGATCGCACTTCGGATCAAAAGCTAATGCCAGTGGTTCTGCTGGATCTGCTCAATGCCCTTTTAGTCCGTTCCAACTGTTCCGAGTTGGCTTTGAACCAGAACGAGTTGGAGGTGCATGAACTGGCCTTTGACTTCTCGCGCCGCCAGAAATTATTCACCTTGAAGGCGGCCACGGATACACTGCTGCTATTGTCCCGACACTTCCAAAAGGAGCGACTGCATCACGGCTTGCATGGGTTGTATCCCAAGCACAAAGCTTACTGCCAGGCATTGGTGCTGTGGTTCACCTGCTTCGGCCATGTGCTGCTCGCTTTGGCCATTTGCAGTTACCAGGAGCTGCTAGCTGATCAGAGTGAGTGTTTTTATGGCCTAACTCTCACAGAAAATATATATTTTAATTCACTCTACAGTCAGCGACATAGTTTTTGGATCCATTGTGGAGACCTATAGTCCCTGGTTGATTCCCTATACCGAGCAAACAACCAGCGGCGTGGCACACTGGATAAGGCAGCTCACTCCCGGACAGAGCAAGGTGCTCCTCCCTTGGAGCGAGCAACATGTGAGCAGCAGCAAGTTGGTGATCCGTTCCTTCGTCGCCATTATACTGCAAGTGCTGCAGTATCTTCCGTCGTCGAACAAGATTCTGGAGCATGTCTTCGCCTGGTATATCCATCACTTTGCGCAGCCCAACATCGCCGGTCATGTGTTAGCGCCCATTCATGAGGGCTTGGCTCAGCTTCCCTGGCAGCGTTTCCTGCCGCCGGCCCAGCACGTGGAGCTGCTATATGATAGCCTACAACGATTCCTACCGGAGTCACACGCCATGCTGGGGCACATCTTCATCCGGATTGATTGGAGCGCCTGGTTTGCCCAGATGTCCCAGCCGGTGGCCATTCTGTCGCGACTATTTGGCATCTTTGTGAAGATTGCCTTTGAGCCGAACATTCACATCCATCCGAATACGAGCAAAATCCTCGAGGAAGCCGTTCAGTACCCATGGCATTTGGTGGAGTACAGCGAGCTGGAGCAGCTGCTCAAGTGGTTCGTGGCCAGCGTGGAGCCTGCCATTGTCCTGAAGCTCCCTGCCGAGAGCAACTATGCGGATAGAGCTGTCTTGGAGTAAGCCTTGTCTGCCCCAAAGCGAAACTAATGAATTAATTAAATGGAAACCTTTTCCTTTGCAGACTTCTTCGACAAGCATGTGCCATGTTGCCGGAACGTTCTTCCCAGGATGCCGTTGTTCTGGGCACAGCCAAGCGCATGCTCTACACCCGTTCTATGGTTCGCCTGCAGCGTGCCTGTGGAGCCAAGCACAAGAAATTGCTCGCCACCAAGGAGGGTGAGCGTGCTTTTACCACGGCTTTTCTAGAGCTGTTGGACAGCATAGACGGAGCCATCAGCAGCTGCAGTGAGCATAGGACTCCGGAGGAACAGCGCCGGGAGGCTCTTAATTTGATGCTGGAACTGGTTGCGCCCACTCAAACGCAGAGCCAGGAGGTGTCCAAGTACGAATTAACAATCAAAATCACAGGAAATAATTGCTAAAATACATTTTAATCACGTTTCAGCATCCATATTAAGACACTAATTCGTTGGCAGCAGCAGTGTGCGCCGGGCAACTTGGTGATGAACTCTGCGCTGCCCGCCATCGGGCACCTGAACACTTACATCGCCAGCATCTACTCGCTGCTGGAGGCGAGTATGGAGAGCTACTTCCGAACCTCGTCGGAAAGTGCCCCCTGGCACGCACCCAGCTGGATGGGTTTGATGGAGGCTTTGAGCATGTCGCTGCCCAAGCTAGAGTTAATGCCCATCATGCAGGGCGGCTACTTGTTCTCCCTTCACGTCTTTGTGGTATACAAGGTGGAGGAAATTGCCACGGATGGCGATAAGGTGACCTTCTTCCAGGACCTGACCCAATTGCTAGAGAATATCAAGACGAATCCGCAGACAGAGCCCCGCTTGGCCCTCGTCTGGGGTGTGATTGTAGCGCGTGGCTGCAAAATACTGCAAACGAATCAGCAGATGAAGAAGCCCCTCTATATGCTGGCCAGGCACCTGCAGATTGCCTCAACGAAGGCCGAGGGCTGGAGCGATGGGCTGCTGGGCGCAATTGGACTCAAGACGGAAGTCATTACTAACAGGTAAGATCCTAATAGGACTTGAAACTCTTTAGAGCTTAATTATTTCCCTCTGAAGGCGAAAGGTGTTGACCCGTTGCTTGGCCTGTGTCATCTTCTCACTGTTTCCGGCCAACCGGGACCTGCGTTTGCCCTCCGAAGAGCATGAAAGCGCTCTGCGCGAGCTCTCCATGCTGCTGGCCAACAAGAAGTTCACTGACGTGAAACCCCTCATTGTCCGGGCTGTGAGCCTGCTTAAGGAGGCCACCTTTCCCGATGTCAGGGCCGTACCGCATATGGTCTGTCGACTGATCAGCATCTTCTACGAGGAAAGCTACCTCACCACCATTCCAGAGGTCTGGGACTTTGAATTCAAGCTAAGCGCGGCGTAGCCAACCGAGCGAGTGACCAAATACAGCCAGATGTGTTATTTTTCAAGTGTTGTATATATTCTATATATTATATCTGTTCTATCTAGGTTTAAGGTGAATAAAGTGATCAATTTGCTGCAATTTCGGAAATTTATAAGATATACTAGCAATTTTTCTTTATACAATTTTAGCTACTACCAGAGATAGCCCGTAACATGCTTATTTTTAGCCTAAATTGTACATTACAGATATAGAGGACCTTTCATCTTTTAGACTATGACTTTATTAATTACAATTCGAGGGTTTATACTTGAAGCTATTTGTTTAAGCGTAGTTACAATAACAAACTCGAATTCACTACCGAATTTAGAGATATAGCGAGGGATTATGATCATCGAAATGATAAATGATAAAATTGAATGGAATTTAAAAACGAGAATATAAATATAAATAGGGCTAGAGACGAACGATAACAAGTGAACATTAAAGGTCTACTCTGTGGATATTGCTACATAAAAAATAATAAAAATAACATGGACACAGCGCTTGGGACATTGCTGAGACGGGGAATCAGTCTTCCACTGCAAAGTTGGACAGCTGCAGGTGCTGCAAGTTGTTGCGCGCCTCAAAGTATCCCGTATCTGTGGGATTGTCGGGTGTGGGAACAAACGGCGGCTCCGTGTTTCCAATATTTTCCCAGTCAATGCACGCAAAGTGTCGCATCTGCTGCACTTCTTTGGCAGCCGGTCGCTCGGCAGGATCCATGGTCAGAAGGAGTTCCACAGCCTCCATTGCATCAACCGACAATGCCTCATCGCCTTCCGGCCATTCGATATCTGAAAGCAAGCCAGGGAGGTATTAGGAGACCTGAGGGTAGTGGGTCATGGTTAAGGTTTACTTACTTTTGTTTAGAATGTTGTCAAATACTTTCTGAGGCGTCTCGTCGTTGAAGGGCGGAATGCCGGTCATGAACTCATAGAAACAGACTCCCAATGCCCACCAGTCGACGGCTGGACCATGTCCCTGCTTCAGCAGCAGTTCCGGTGCCAAATAATCGGGAGTGCCCAGGATTCGCTCGTTGGAGACACGTGCCCCTCGCCTTACCGACTTTGGGGTACGAAACGGCGTGTTAATGTTCACATTCTTTGGTGTTTTTGGTATGTTCCCAGCTCCATGGTTAATAGGCGACATTGTGGGATCGTCAGCTAGCTTCAAATGATACTGCACACCGGACATCTTTTCGATGGTTGCATGCTCGCGTTTCTTATTCTCTATGGACAGGGGCAGAGCAAATCGTGTTGCCTTTAGTTTGCCCAACAAACCACCATCGCGACGTGGCAGCTTCTGCGAAGAGACGGGCGTGGAGAAGACCACATTGGCTACATTCGCCTCAGGTCCGAGCAGATGGTTAATGGGCAGCTCGTCGTCGGAGAGGGATCGCACCTTGAGCACTCCCCGTATCGGCGATGAACGGGCCTTTCGCTTTTTGGGCGTACTGCTGCCAATGTTAAGGATCTCGATTTCCTGGGTTAGCCCAGTGTGGGCGCTGCTTGTGCCCGAACTAGAGCCATCGCCATCCATGTTGGACATGTTGTCTGAACGGTTGACCAGGTTTATCTTCCGCTTCATGCCACGCAGGAAGTCGGGACGCTTGAAGTGCTTGGATAGGTTCCGGAAGGGCGAGTTCATGTGGATGCCGCTCATTTCATTGGCGTTTGTTAAATTATAGCTGCGCGAATAGTCCGAGCAGCTTAAGTCCTCCTTGGACTGGCTAAGGTTCTCGGCGTTCTTCTCGATCGACGAGGCCGTGCTCTCACTATTCAGGTTCAGGTGGCAGCTGGAGTTGTCGTCGCCCTTGCGGCTTGAGACGCCAGAGTCCTCCTGTCCCTTAGAGATCCGATTGCGCTGGACGGGATTGGGGCTTATTAATTATACATTTTAAGAATAACTGTTGAAATAAAATGCTAAAAGACAGACTGGACAACCACAAACACATGCACATGCAACGCACCTCGTCGAGCGACCGCCTGCGCACCATGGAAAACTCAAACGAAGCATCGTTTGCAGTCTCCAGCTTTGGCAAATGCTTGCCGCCATTGTTGGTGGCCATGTTGCTGCTGTCCTGCACGGCCAGCTTGCATCCCTTTATGCGAAATAAATATAGAAATTACTGGTTCGGCTCCAGCAATAGCCACTCACCTGGCAATTGGCCGTATCTAGGGCGAATTCCACACGGCGCTTGTTGGACACTGTCTCGGCAGCAGCTCCAGTGGGTTCCAGAGGCAAACACTTGCTAATATCGCCCGAGGTGCAGGTGTGAAAGGAGCAAGAGGAGCTGCTGTCTTGGGGCTGCAAGGTAGAAACACACAACCTGCTGTATTAATTTGTTCAAGGATCAAGATTTCTCTACCCACATTGTTATTGGTCGTGCACGTATGCGTTATAGATTCGTTGACCTCCTCGGCGGAGAAAAAAGGCGATACTCCAGATATCTTGCTGTCGCTTGTCTTCTCTGCATCATTAAGAGAAGTGTCGCCCTCACTGTCCGAGAGCTCCATGATCAGACTATGCTTGTTGATGGCCTGCAGCAGGTGGGAGGTGCCGGTGCCTGTCGTCATCCCACTTATACCCGCCGCTTGTCCGGTCATAACGGAACCATAATCCTGTAGCTTCTTTTCGGAACCAAAGGACAAATGCGAGGTGAGCGAGAGCAGCTGTCCCGGCGTGCGGGCATTCAAGTTAGGCGAGCAGTTGATCAGATCTGATATCTCCAGATCCCGTCGCATGTCTATTTTGCTCAAGCCAAAATCCGTGAGCTTCACATGGCCGCTGGCCGAGAGCAGCATGTTATCTGGCTTGATGTCCCGATGGACGATTCCGTGTTGGTGCAAATACTGCAGCGCCATCACCATCTCGGCCACATAGAAGCGAGCAGTGACCTCGTCAAAATAACCGTACATGGCCAGCAGTGACTTGAGATCCCCGCCGACCATGTACTCCATTACCAGGTAGACGTAGGACAGCGACTGCAGAGAGTAGAAGAGGCTCACGCAGAATTGGGAGCGGGACAAAGCCAGGGCGTTGCGTTCAGTGATCACCTGCGAGACCATGTTCTTGTTGATCATCTCCGATTTGCGCATCACCTTGATGGCGAACAGCTTGTTGGAGTCATTGTTCTTGTAGCCCAGGAACACCTTGCCGAAGGCGCCGCGGCTGATGGGCTTGATGATAACAAAGTCCTTGATCGTGGGAAGCTGTGGTGGATTATATTAAAGGTATTAATGTCAAATACTGATTTTTTAGCTGAATCAAACAATAAACATTTAAGAGATCACTTTATCGAGAAGCCAGTGTAACAGTTAACTGTATAAAGCCAGAAGAAAATGAAAAGAAAGAAGGAGAAAGAAAGGAATCTGGAGTGTTTTACAAAAATAATGCTATGATTTGAGTGGTGTTCTTTAGAACTTAATAACATGTTTTTTTTTTTTTTTAAACTATACAATTTGTATGATATCTTTTTTTTCGTTAATAATTCTTTGCCTAAAAAACAAAAACAAACTTTTGGCGCATTTCGAATTCCCACCTAGGATAACTGTAACTACACGTGTGTCGTCACACAACTTTCCCGCGGTTACCTTTGCATTCTGGGAGTGATTCTCCGGCTTGGTGGTCAGTATATTGATCTTGTCCAGCAACTGCTCACTGTCGTACAGCGAGTTTGTCTTCTTGGGGGTTTTGTAGTCGATATGGGGATCCGAATGCGAAGTCGCATCAGCGTTTTCCATATCTCAAAGATTTCCAACTCTTGATGCGCACTAAAAACGCAGTTTTCTTAGTGGTTTGCGATACGGGTTTCAAGGCCAGGCCCGTTTTATACAGAGTATTAGTTACACGTTCCAACAGATTGTTTATTGCACTTTTACAACTTTTCAAATAACAATTTAAAGCAGCGCGTCCCTTTTTTTATTTGTGGGAATATTAGTGTGCACGACTCATTTTTCGTTAATAAGGTTGTAATGATTTCAACGGATTGACAGGATTTCTCCCTTCTTGACAACTGGTTATACTAAAAAACAGCGGTAGCGTTGCCAGACTATACAAATTGCGCTCTCTTTTCGTTTCATCGATAGTTGTGATAATAAATCGATGTTGTTAGAGGTGGAACAACATCGCACTTGGTGGGAGCTGAAAACATTTACGTTTTATTGAAATTCAAATTTCACGTGCAAAGCAGGCTCCTATGAATGGAAGTGAGTGTCAGATAGCCCGCAGTAGACAGTGAGCAATGCGCCATACGTTTACATCACCCCACCGCCGCCCATAGCCAGTAAGGAGCCGTCGAGATCCGGTACCCGCCATCGCAATGTTCTACATCCGCCGCCTGTTTAGCCAGGAGCTCGCTCCGGTCTCCCAGTGCGACTTCCTCGGCTGCCTGCAGCAAACGCCCAACCTGTTGGCCAACGCTGGCTTTACGGGAGCGCCGGCCCTGGAGAGCCTCACCTGGTTACACAACCTGGCGCCGTGCTTCCCGCTGCGCGGCGACCAGATCCAGGTCATCCACGAGCCGCAACACTTTTACGACACTCTCGTGCAGCGTATTGCGCGGGCCAAGCGCCGGATTGTTCTGGCCAGCCTGTACCTGGGCACCGGTCAGCTGGAGAGCGCCGTGGTGCAGACGTTGCGTCACAGCCTGAAGGCGGAGTCAGCGCTGCGGCTGAACGTGCTCCTGGACTTCACACGCGGCACCCGCGGCGCCCTCAACTCGAAAACCATGCTGCTGCCCCTGGTTCGGGACTTTGCCAGCCAGGTGCAGCTCTCGCTGTACCACACGCCTGATCTGCGCGGGATGACCAAGCGACTGGCGCCGCCGCGTTGGAACGAGCTGCTCGGGCTGCAGCACATGAAGGTCTACCTCTTCGACGATGCCGTGATCATTTCGGGGGCCAATCTGTCCAATGATTACTTCACCAACCGCCAGGATCGTTACATACTCATTGAAGACAAGCCGCTGGCGGACTTCTATGCCCAGTTCATAGAGCGGGTGCAGGAGTTTAGTCTGGCGGTGGCGCCGGATGCCAGCGAGGGACTACACCGCAACTGGCGCATCCTGCCGTACGAGGGCACCAAGGAGCAGTTTATCCAGCTAGCTAAACAGCGGATCGCGGACTTTGTGCAGGAAACGTTCCAGCGACAGGCGCGCGCAAAAGAGCTAAACCCGGAAGCGGACACGTGGGTTTTTCCGCTAATGGAGATGGGGCAGATTGGCATCCACCACGACAGCGTCGTTACGAAGCGCCTGCTCTCGAACTGCGTGGCCGGATCGCGGCTCAAACTGGCCACTGGGTACTTCAACCTAACGCAGGAGTACATGGACACCATCACGCACAAGTGCCTGGCAAAGTGCAGCATCCTGATGGCGCATCCCAATGTACGTGATGAAGTATTCCTTGATTTCTTGCTTATTATTTATTATACTGTTCCCAGGCTAATGGCTTCCAGGGCGCCAAGGGACCTGCTGGTGGCATTCCGGCCGCTTACACCCTGATAGCCAAGAGCTTCTACGAAAGCTTGGTGCGCCGGCAGCAGAACCATCGCGTCAATTTCTTCGAGTACGAGAAGCCCGGATGGACCTACCATGCCAAGGGCTTGTGGTATTACCTGCCCGAGGCACGACTGCCCAACCTCACGCTTATTGGCTCCTCCAACTTTGGCGAACGCTCAGTAAATCGCGATCTGGAGACGCAAGTGTGCCTGGTCACGGCCAACAAGGACCTCAGTCAGCGTCTGCAGGCTGAGGCGGATCGGCTGTATGACCTGTCGCAGACGGCAGAGCGTGAGATTGTGCAGCGACCAGTGCCGCGATGGGTTCAGGCCGTCGTACGCATATTCAGGAACTTCTTTTAGTCTATTTACCGATCATAGTTAAATTTTTTTCGTTGTTGTTAAGGCCCAACCCACTCCCAATAGTTACTGTAGTTCTAATTCGTGTTTAATAATTGCCCTGGGCAAGTGTATGTTTCTATTGCTGGTGATCGTTGCTTTTGTACACAGGCTATAGTTTGTTAACGAATAAAGCGGATTTTTTACCCGAATAAATGGGGAAACACGCGTTTCTCTTATCAGCAAAGGGTCTTGAGAGTTCAAACTTATACGGTGGTTGTGGTTTTCAGAATTAGACCATATCTTTGGGGTCATCTGTTATAAAAAAAGTAAGGCCAAGAATTAGTTTAGATTTTTATATATAGTTTTTTCTACAACTTATGGGATTTAAGAAAATGTAAATATAAAAAAATTAAAGCCGACTTTCCATCAAGTTTTAGTAATTAGCTTCATAAAAAAGTTCTTATTTAAAGCTGAGCGCCAAACGGACTTTCTAATCGATTTCCGATTAGCCAGCACCTCAACCCACACTTTTCTCAACTGCAAATATGTATATTTTTTTGTATCATTATTTCATGTAATTTGTTTAGAGTTTAGAACAAGTTAGACTTTGAGAATTTTTTTATTTTTTAAAATTTCAGAGTATTTAAATTTAATTTTTAAATAATAATCGACCTATCGGCTAACAAAGAATCGATTGTCTCCATAGCAACATCGATTCGATGTATCGATGCCTGAGCCCTCTAGTCAGCTGCTTTTTTTTGAACAGGTAAGACGCTTTACCTGCGTGCCGTTATGTGTGTGGTGCTCGCCGTGAAAGTTAAATTAAAATAAATCTGATTATCGTCGAGCGAAAAAGCATATAGAAAATAACAAAAAAGTCGTGGCGCGTGCTTACTAAAGTGTTAGTATTAGTGCTACCGACTGTGTGTGAGTGTTTGTGCTGTTGGCATGTGCTAGTGTGCGGATTCCAAGAATAACAACAGCAAAAGCAACAGCAGAAAGAGAATTGGCGAAAATGTCAAACCTTCGTCGCACAAGGCGCACAATGGATTACCTGGCGCTCCAGCAGAGTCTGCAGCTCCAAAAGACGCCGGCAACGAACGCAGCATCGGGGGCGGAGGAGGATGGCAACGGTAACGATGCGCCACCGGTGCCGCCACTCCCGCCACCCCCCATTCCGCCCATACGATTACGACGCGAGCAGAGCGTGGACGAGGATGTTGCAAGGTGAGCCGGCTCAGTGGCTGATGGAATTTTTCGGGGTTTTCCCGCATACAAACATGAAAGTCTGCAAAATTGCACGTAACACGGCTTACGTCGCTCTCTGCCCTTGTATCTTTTACTCTCTCACTCACTTTTCGAAGCTCTGCTTGTATTAGTCCCCCCACTCTTGCCGCCTCTCTCATTCACTTACCTCTCCCAGTTCACCAGTTTTAATTGTTAAAACGTAAACAACGTGTTTTTTGGCCACGTTATTGTTGTTCTTAATGTTTTTTGTTTTTGTTGCTGGCTCAACGAACCCGAGAATTTAACAAACTGCAAGATAGCCACAAAAAAAGTGAATTCAGGCTGAAATTGAACACTTTGCGTGCAGCGCAATTACAATTATCCCGAGATGCACTGAGAAAAAGCTTAAAATTGCTATCAATTGAATTATTTTTAACCATTTACATTGATTCCGGTAAAGCTGTATAAAAGGATAAGAAAAATATGGTAGGGAGTGTGAAATTATTATTCTTAGCTTGTTTAAAAATATTGAAGTCCAATATTCAAAAGTGTTAAAGTAAAGTAAAGTAAAGTAAAGGTTTTTAATAACTAAATTTAAGTGGAATTTGACTCGTGTGTTGTTTTTTCTTCCTGTGTCGTTATATTTGTATATGTTAGGGCATTTATCATAGCGGTATTTGTGTTCGCAGCCGGGCGAGTCTTCCAAGATATTTGCTGATAACGGTGGTGGTGGGGGCCGCTTGATAAGGCGAGGCATACATACACCTACCTAGAGGGAATTACGATTTTTCGTTGTTTCTTTCGCAGGGGCTTATTCATAATTTGTTTAAATTTGATTTGATTTCCGTGGGGCGAACGGATGGGTGAGTGGGCCGCGAATTCGCAGGAATTGGCGGATGTCGCAAGTTGGCACGAAAAGAAAAGAAAATCGGTGCAGACATCAATTTTCTTTTGGCACCTGTTCCTCCTCCAATTGGAATTCGGTGAAATTAAGGTGTCTGTTTGCTCTCTCTGTCTCCATGTATCTATCTCTTTATCTCGCCAATCGTGTTCTTCTTCAACTCGCATACCTGTTTTAGGGGGAAAGAGATGGACGACGGATTGGAAGTTAAAACGCGTTTAATACGTGCGCTTGCCCAGTCTGCTTTGTAACCTCTTTCGTTATTCTGTTTTGAAATCGAATTCGCTTTCTTCTCGAGTTTCCAAAGCTTTGTATCAATGGAATTCCAATATCGAAGGTCTCGCCTAACTGTTTTTGGCCGAGAGAGCGGCAGATCTAGCTCTCTCTTGCAACAATTGTACTTGAACTTGCAGGAGAGAGACGACTCCTCCGCACACTTCTACTCACTCGCTCTCTCGGCAATCTGGCCTGCGTGCGATACAATCAGTGGGTTTTGGTTTTTCGTCTGTTTTTTTGATAAGCATAATTATGGCGTGTACATATGTACATACATTGCTCAAAAACATTTCCGCATAGCGCTCACCCACTCGCACACACGTGCCTGTGTTATTAATAGTAATTTTAGATTTTTCCAAATGTACTTTTAAATGCCATGTTTACATAGACATTATTCATATAAGACTTTATTTGTGTGTATTTTTTGGAAAACCAAACAATACTCGCGATATTTCTCAATTTTAATTTCAGCTTTTCCGAATGTAATTTTAAAACTTAAATTTAGTTCATTGGAATGTGTTTTTAGTATTTCCCTTTAAAGAAAATAACTCAGAATTGGTAACATTATTTTGTTTTTACTTAAAATAATAATAATTTAATGCTATTTCACAAATATCTGAACAATTTTAAGAGAATAGTATTTTATTGTTGATTTTTAGATTAAAAATAAAAATAGCTTTTCAATTTCAAGTGAAGTAAAAAAATTAAATTGATATAATTAATACCGAAATTTAAATCAGGGAAAACTCCCACATGTAAGGCTTGGATTGCAAAAAAGACTTCGTTTCTTGCTTAGCTTTATTACCGGGAAACTAATGACATCGGATCCCTGTGGAAAAATTGATCGATGATTAATAATAAATGGGGGACCACGGTGCGTATGTGTAACTTATGTACACAACAAGCATATCAAGTATACGCTCCGTTGGTCACGTGACTATGCGGAACACCCTACAGAAGACAACAACCTATGAATAATGGCTTCGATTTTCACACACAATCTGCCAGCAGTTGATTGACTCAACACGAATCGATTCCTTCGATTTTACGGGGAATATTCTACAGCTGCTGCAAATATACAAAGTACTGAACTGAACTCTCTGTGTTTGAATAAACACACAGCACAGAGCTAATTAGCTAACAAGTCAGCGTACATAATAAAATCCCATAAATTAATAATAAATATTCGCGCGGTTAAAAACCAATCACGAACCACAAACAAACGGGGATACGGCCCACTCAATCGATCAGATAACCATTTGCGTTCCACACTTAAATCTCTTCTCTTTTTCTAACTCTCTTTCTGTCTCTCTTTATTTGGCGTTTTCTCTTATTGTTTTTTTTTATCTCTTACCCTTTTTAACTCTTTATTTGTATTTTCAATTGTGTTGTTGCAAATTTAGCGTCAAAAAATTAATAAAGTATGACAATTTAATAAAAAACAACAAACAAAATAATGTTCTAATGTTATTTCTCATAATATTTCTGATTTCTGTCTGAATAAGAGTCTTATAACAATATTTACAGTTTTACATTTACAATTGAGCATTTTCCTCTTTTCTTTTAGTCACAGAACTAAATGCATAGTTTAATTATTGATGAGGGATTGATGATTAACTCGACTTTTGATACTGATACATTTTATTCCGACTAAATTATAATACCCTGCAAAAGGGTAGAAAACTGGCCAGATTGGCACAACTGCCAAGTTAGGTGGCCACCCACCAGTTGCTCTCCGCTGGCGGTAAACAATCGGATGCGTCGGGGCGCTCACCATTCACTATACTCTTGCTCAATGGCCAGAGCTGCGGAGCTTACTACTTCACCGCTCGCCGCTTGCGACTTTGGTGACCAGTTCGCCGCGGTTGGTAGAGAACAGCAGTCGATTTGGGGGCGACACCGCGCCGTCTGTCCCGGCACACACTCGTTCGCAGTACATACCGATCCATCCGTATAGTATAGTATAGGCAGCGCGAATAGATGGGGGGTATAATATTCTTGTTAAAAGTGCTAATAAATTGACTGGCTGCCGCGGCAAGTGTTCCGCGTTATGAAATACGAAAGGGGTTGTGATAGACCCGAAACTACAGCGGGCAAGATAGATAGTGCAGTGCTGGTGACCCCGCGGGAAACCAGGAAAGACTCCTCCAACGCCCAGTCATCGTTCTAAAGTTCTCTGCGCTCCGCTTGTAATTGTGAGCTGTCGCCTTCTTGTTTGCTCTCCGCTCGTGCTCGTTGCGTTCCTATTGTTTTTGTATTTTTTTATGATTGTTTTTTCTTACGAAGTGTTGTGCCGTGCAATTAGATGTACATAAATTGGCGGGGGGACTCCAAGCTCGAGAGGGTTCCCGAAGTAATAACAGCCCTAGATTGCTGCGATAGAACACAATCAGCCAGCTGAGGAGAAAGAGTACTTTACTTACTTAGCTATACTCTAAAGTTCTCTCGTCTCGCTGCGACTCGTTGATCGTGGCCGGCAGTTTTGAAGTTATTGGGATTTGGACTCTGCAAATAATAAACTGTGATTCCAGCTTTTACGCAAAATGCGTCGGAAAAAGTGAGTGAAATTCGCCAATGGGCTGACGAAAGAGGGTGGCGCGATTGCCAAAAACTGGAGCACGCGAGTAATTGCCAGCCAATATCTGGAATTTTTTGTCGTATTTGGTCTAGAATAAATCAAACCTCCGCTCAAATTAAGGCATAATCACATGCGTGACAAGCGGCTGTCTGCATCCGCAGCAGCGTTCCGATAAGATAAGGGTCCTACCAAAATCCTCTGTGTCTATTCCCTTTGATAAAACAGCATATT